GGCAGCGACCGGTGTTCCTCGTTTATTTTTCCAGGACCCCTGCCATACTGTTCCATGCTGAAGGGCAGACACACCTGCTTCCCCCTCGTCACCTGTTCCCAACCTGTCACTGGCGGTTTTCCTTCCGAATACCTGAGCGTAAGGAACTAGGGCCTGCTTAGTTTGGGGGATGCTGGTGTTGGTTTTATCAAAGGATTGGCCCCTCACTCCGCAGTGATTGCCCTTGATATTTGTGTAGCCTGTTCCCGAGGAACTCAAGGCCTCTGTCCCCGATTTCTAGCATTCGCTTTCTAGGGAAAACGTGACTGGAGCCAGGTTACTGGAGTCAGCCTTGGAGACTTGAACTGCTGGAGGGAAATCTGTGACGGAGCTCAGGGAGACACAAAGCCACTCGGTCATCAGACCCGCCCCCCTTTGGATTCTGGAGCCCATGTTCCCACAAGACTCCAGCCATGCCGCTCAAAACTATCCTGAAATACTTTCAAACTTAGTGCTTGCTCAGGCGCCTTAGGGAGGTTTAAGTCCAGGGTGCAAAGGTCAACTTCAAATTCTGCTGAATTCTTTTATCTCAACTCTTAGAACTCTCAGCCTCGGGTTAAGGTGCTGCCAATTTTAAAGTAGACACTTCAGGTTGAATAAGGTGAGAGTGTGTCGGTGAACACGAGAATGAAAACCGGTATGCACAGCTAGGGCATAGTTATTCACTGCTCCTCACTACCGCTAGCAAAACAGCACATGTAGTGTCTTACAGAAGTTGGGCACATCAGTGATTAAAACGGTGCTTCCTAGTCATAAACTGAAAGCACCAGGAACTCAGCTCTTCCTTGGTTCACTCCTTAGACATTCATTCCGCCTCCTGGTGGCGTCTGTCAGAAACGCTCTTCCTTTCCTGTTCCTACTGAATGGGGTAGGCTCTAACACAGCGATTATAAGTACATTGGAAAAATAGCCAGCCATGGTAGTGCACACCGGTAACCCCAGCATCCTGGGAGGCTGGGGTGGGAGGATTGCAAGTTCAAGCCCAGCCTTGTTAACTTAGCGAGACCTTGTCTCAAAATGAAAAATGAAAAAAGGGCTGGGGTCTAGCTCAGTGCAAAGGCCCCGGGCTCAGTTCCCAGTACCACACAAATAAATGACACACTGGAAACAGTGACAGCCTCAGGGTTACTTACGGAAATTACACAAATCCCTCTCCCGGCAACATCAGAGTACTTCTTTATATAATACCAATTAAAACCAATCCTCTCATAAGGCATTTGGGATTTGTTTCTATTGTCTACACTCCTTCCAAGCTTAATTTCCATTTCTCACTTTGCCTTTTCTCCTTCACCCCACTAATCTCAACTCCTGTGCTACTGTGCATACACCACTGCCACACACCTCTTCAGGGGTTTAAAATACTCCAGACTTCAGGGGGAGTCCCATGAGCAGCTCTATTTTTAAGCTATCTATGAGGTCCTGAAATGCCTGTACCCCTTGGCTATATTTACTCTTTCCACATCTTCCTCCACCACATAGCAATGAGATGACCCTGTGAATCAAAATGACACCCACACTCGGTCTGGGAAGGGAGGCACTGAAGACGATGAGAGGCTCTGTGGGACAATACCGTGCTGCTCACAGAGTAGCGAGGAGCCCAGGTAAGGAGTGAGACACAGAGCCACTGCCGAGGCTGGACAGGCAGTATCTGGATTACTTACTACTCCTTAGCATAGTTGCCTAAACTGGTGCCCACATAAGCTCAGTTTCTTTTCCTACTGTCTTAGTGAGAAGAATGGGAAAGGCCTGATATTTCTGTCTTTGAGAAGCAGATTTTTGCAGGCTATGCATCCTAGGAAGCCCTAATTTACCCTCTGCTTCCTTCAAAGCTTGTAGCACAGAATGCCCATCTCTGACCACTCCTGGGTGGGATGGTGAGTGTCCCAGACTATGTAAGCTTTCCTCTTCATTTCCTGGAGGAGCCGGCCAGACCAGAAGCTCTGTTCTGTGTCTTGTCTCCCTTATGTTCCAGCAGAAGCCCCAATAAAGCCTCATGTGGATGGTGCACATTTGCATCTTTGTGATTTCTATCTCAAATTGAGGAAAGGATGCTGGTCAAGATAATATCTATAGCTCCTGACTTAGTTACTTTTCTTGTTGCTGGGACAAAATACCCGACACCCAGTGTTAAAGGAGGAAAGGTTTGCAGTGGACCCTCAAATTACAACTGGTCTGACACACAAACAACTTGGGTTATGACCAGAATTTTAGTTTTAACTTATGACCAAAGTCTTGAGCTACAACCTAAATGCCAGCTGCTTATGCTTCCAGATGATCTCAGATACAGTTTAACCCTGAAAGAGTTCTAGAAGGAACATTACAACATCCTTTCCTGTGTGGGGTTGAGAAATCCCGGGTCAATGTCTCTCTAAGGACCCTGAGATCTGCCTGTATACAGGAGAGAGACTTTGAAGGTTGTGTAGAGGAGCCTGGGCCTTCAGTTGACCAACTTGTATTACAACCAGTCCTCAGGAATGAACTGAGTTAATGAGTCAAGGGTCCACTTTATCTGGCTTACTGTTTGTAGAGGTTTCAGTCCATAGTTGGCTGGCTCTAAGGCAGAGTGGCATTGCAGACAAGCATCACAGAAGAGAAACAGTTTATGGCAGAACAAGGTAGCAAAAACAACAAGGGAAACTTTCTGTGCCTTTTATCTTATCCAGACTACTGGGATTAGAGTGGTGCCAAACCAATCAGTGTACTGGTTTAGTGACCACACACCATCCCAGCATCACACACTCTAGATTCAGCCACCACTGAAAAAGCCACCTGAGGCTTTGGGGGACATCTAGACTCAAACCATAACAGCTGCTTTCCTTGCTCTTTTCTGAATTAGTGGTAAGTAAAGCAAGACCTTTCTGTACCCACTGACCACATAGCTACTTGGATAAGGTTGATGAATGTCTCATATTGAAGTTTAAATTTCTCCTCATTTTGTTAACAATCCTTGGTTCATTCTAAATTTGTATTTCAAAATACTTGTCAGAAATTCTGTTTTCTGTAAGTTGATTTGTGTCTGCCACGTCATTCCTTAACTAAAGAAATGGAGAAATTTGACTACAGATGGTTTGCCTTTGTGTTTTTCTGGGTGGGAAGTATTGTTGCTAAACTGTTTTTCTTTTTCCATTCTAGAGGCCTTGAGCAATAGAGTCAAGATAAGATGTATAAACTTCTGACTAGCTATTATTGTAGACAGCTAATTTAATTAAAATATTATAGGCAGTCAGACAGAGCTGGGCCCTCAAAGAATTAGTGCAGAAGACAATTGTGGCTGGAAGCAAACGCACTGAAGGCCAGTCTTCAAGACAAAGAGAACTGACTATACCCACATACTTCCCCTAGGGATAAACAGTGTGACTTATATTCTAAATAGGCATCAATCACCTTAAACCATTCCTTCCAGGAAAGGTCTTTTTTCATTCCATTTGTTCATTATGCTTGCTATATGACTTGCTTCCTCATTTGATCTCTATAATCAATATTACCTAAGTGACTATACTTGTAATATTATTGGTTGACCATAGTTTTGTCCCACCTTATACCCACCTTGTGATTTTCCACTGGATCAATATTACCTAAGCAATTATATTTGTAATCTTTTTAGTTGACTACAGTTTTGTCCCATTTTATACCCACTTTACTTTGTGGCTTTGCTCTATAAAACTCCCTTGAGAAGTGGGGTCCTGGTCAACCCACTTTCTGGGCCCCCTTCTGTCTCTTAGACTGAAGCTATCTTTCTCTCAATAAATTTTTCCTACTCTTAACCTCTGTTGTTCCTAGAATTCATTCTTCAGTTTTAGAGAACACAAACTGTGTGTTGGACATCTGTCAGGTTGGGAGTTTTATTTCCCTTATATTATTTGGAGGTCCATATACTGTACACCCTATATCATTTGGAAGTCCCACTGAAATAATTGGATGGAGGTAAGAGTTTGTTTTTGTTTCATAGATTCTGGATTGTGACTTGCTTAGGTAATCAAAGCAGTCTTGAATTTTATGCCTTATGTCTTAAATTTTGTGCCAGTTGCATATGCTTTAAATTTTTATGTTTTGTTAATTGCTTAGCTCTCATCTCTTATGACACATTGTCTTTTGTTAAAATGATTGTAAATCTAAGTTAAGAACAT